TACATACATAATACATCACATACATAGCACTACATACATACATACATACAATACATACATACATGTATACATAAGTACATACATACATACATACATACATACATAAATACATACAGTACATACAATAACATACACTTACATATCATACATAATACATACATACAGTACAGTACATACATAAGGGCATAATACATACTACAGTACAGTACATACGATTATCATACATACATACATACCATAATACATACATACATACATACAACATACATACCATACGATACATACATAGCATACATACATACATACATACATATCATACATACATACATACATACATACATACTATACATAATACATTAGCATACATACATACATTACATAACATAAATACATCACCATACATAACATACATACATACATACATACAATACATACCATACATACATACAGACCATACTGACTACATACATACATACATCACATACAGCTACATACATACAATTACATACATACCAATACATACCATACAATACGATACATACCGACAATACATAACTACATACATACATACATAATACATACATACATACATTACATAGCACTACATACGAATTAGGCATAGGCGATACATAGCATAGCATACGATTACTTGACGTTAGCTTAGCGCTACTTAATGGGACATACAGTAACATCGGACTACATACAGTGACATAGCGGTACATGACATAGATACATACAGGTACATACAGTAGCATACGAGACAGTACAGTTACATACGATACATACGAGTACATACATAATCATACATACATAGCGATACAGACATACATAATAATACATACATACATACATACGATCACTTACATACATACAACGTCACGTACGCACGCACGCACGCACGCACGCACGCACGCACGCACGCACACACACACACACGCATACGCACGCACGCACGCACGCACGCACGCACGCACGCACGCACACACACACACACACACACACACACACATCTATTAGTACAATAAACCACATCGTTTTCTATTAGTGAGTGTGTAAACACCGGTTAGTTACAGGGAGTGTTGTGTTTGTCTGGCGGCGGTGTGTCATGCGATTATCGGTGTATATAATGACGTTATATATTTACACCCGTAGATTAACATTACATGACAAGAGCTTGTATTAGGCTAGACGAACGCGGTATAGCGAACTTTGGCTGGTATTTCTGTTATTGACAATAGTAATTGGAAGTCAATGTATCACGCGAATATTGCAATAGATTGCGCGTCTGTGTAGCAAAGTCTCCGCGGCTTTGCGCATGTGCCATGATTCTCGACGCTTTTTCGTAATTGCGCGGTTTCTGCGCATGCGCGATGATGATCGAACGGCGAGCATAAATTTGAGCTGCGCGGACTTGGCTTTCAAGGTCGCGGCATCGCGCGGCTCTGGTCGGTCATTATTTATCGATGTCAGGGCCACATGCTGAATCGTTTGCCGCTTAATCTACATGTTAAAAAATCCGTTCACGCGTGATTATGTAGCAATAGTACCACCACCACCACCACCACCAGCAGCAGCAGCAGCAGCAGTAGCAACAGCAGCCATAGCAGCAGCAGCAGCAGCGGCAGCAGTAGCAGTAGTAGCAGCAACAGCAGCAGCAGCGCCACCAACAACAACAACAATAACAACAACAGCAGCAGCAGTAGCAGCATCAACAACAGCAGCAACATCAACACCAACAGCAGTGCCTATCACAGACAATGTCTTAGCACACACACCTCCGCGACCGCCCGCCCCCACCTCATGTGGTAAATCGCATATTTTAAGTAAAATAAACGACTAATCACTGACGACATCTCACCAGACACGAAATACCTCAGCGCTGTTGCGACGTCGTGCACAGCATTGCAATGAGCTAGCTATGGCTGCATGAAACATTCCTCTATACACCTCTGCGTGTGTGCATGCACACGTAAGTCTACGAATACTTGTACTAATAATCTACGTGCACGAGATAGCGCATGCGCGGGCGGGCGTCGGCGCATGAGATTTAATGAGATGAGATGTCATGATTACGCGGCGAACTATTTCTGTATACGCGTAGGTGGTTGTGCTGACTTCTTCCCTTTCGTCTTCTTCTTCTTCTTCTTCTTCTTCTTCTTCGTATTCTTCTTTTTCTTCTTCTTCTTCTTCTTCTTCTTCTTCTTCTTCATCATCCTCTTCTTCTTCATAATCATCACCATCTTCTTCATTATTATCTCCTTTTTTTTCTTCGTCGTCTTCTCTCTTCTTCTTCTTTTTCTTCATCATTACCATTATCTTCTTCTTCTTCTTTTTCTTCTTTGCTCCTACTTTTTCTTTATCTTCTTCTCTTAGTACTTCATTATCTGTTGAACCCCCTTTTTTACATCATTAAATAATCAACACACCCAGACACACAGACACACACACACGTACACACACATACATAACACACACACACGCACACACACACGCACATGCGCGCGCGTACGTAATAACTTACCTATCGTGTACTTCTTTATTCTCGCAGTATTTCCTGAAAGAAGCTTTAAGGATTAACGCATTAGAACGATGAAGAAAGATTACTGATGTTTGCGAGAGATTTTTCTCTCGCTATAATTCGACCTATCCCACCACGTACAATGCCAGTAACACGCGACTTACGACCCGGCCATAGTCTAGCAATAAGATCTAACCTCTCCGGACATATTGTACGCAGGGAGGGGATTACTCGTACCTATCCGTAGTTAAAATCGCGTCACATACTTCCACCACCTGTATACGCGTTCGCACACTCCCGGCTGCGTATGCTACCGATGGTGTGTGTGTGTGTGCGTGCGTGCGTGCGTGCGTGCGTGCGTGCGTGCGTGCGTGCGTGTGTGTGTGTGGGTGTGTGTGTGTGTGTGTGTGTGTGTGTGTGTCGCGTGTGTGTGTGTGTCTGCGTGTGTGCCGTGTGCGTGTCGCTCGGCGCGTGCCCGCGGCGAAGGCTGTGTGTGTGGGTGGTGTGTGTGTGTGTCTGGTGTGTGTTGGAGTGTGTGGTGGTGTGTGTGTGTGTGAGTGCGTCGGTGTGTGTGTGTGTAGTGGACTGCGTGTATGTCGTGTGTGCGGGTGTGTGTGTGTTGTGTGTGCGTGCGTGTGTGCGTGTGTGCGTTACAGGCACGCACAGCTGTTAAGTTAGGAACGCGTGCGGCGTGCATATAAAGACGTTAGCAGCGTGATTATGATGCGAAGCTCTGCAACCGTACGGTCTTCTCGCATTTCTTTCCTACTCTCGTTG